GGGGGGGGGGGGGGGGTGGTAAAGGGGAAACTTGCCCCGGGCACGACCATGGGTGTGTGTGTGGGGGGGGGGGAGGGGTGCAAAAAATTACATTTCGATTGGACCTTGATGGCAAATTAAACGATGAGTCCCATGTACTTCGCAGAGGAGATGTGCGTCAAAGCATCTTTAGACTGGTCCGCCCCGGGTGACACGTCCAGGAGTCGCACGGGGCGCCGCTTTGCCTCAGCCCGATCCTGAGAAACACTTTTCTTTTGAAATGTTATATTCATCCGTTCCATTTTTGAAAACATTTCTGACATGTTGACCACTCCCCCCACCCGCGCCTTTAAACGCCACCCACCCTTCTGTTATTTGTTTTCACAAGAAGAACCTCCAGCAATTTTCGGACTCCTGATAATGTAGACCCTTGATACTGCAGATCCCTGATAATGTGGACCCCTGATAATGTGATCCCAGATAATGTGGACCCCTGATACCGTGGACCCCTGATACTGTAGACCCTGATAATGTGATCCCTGATACTGTGAACCCTTGATACTGTGGACCCCTGATACTGTGGACCCCTGATACTGTAGGCCCCTGATAATGTGGACCCCTGATAATGTGGACCCCTGATAATGTGAACCCTGATACTGTAGACCCCTGATACTGTAGACCCCTGATAATGTGACCCCTGATACTGTGGACCCCTGATACTGTGAACCCATGATACTGTGGACCCCTGATACTGAGGACCCCTGATACCGTGGACCCCTGATACTGTAGACCCTGATAATGTGATCCCTGATACTGTGAACCCTTGATACTGTGGACCCCTGATTCTGTGGACCCCTGATACTGTAGACCCCTGATAATGTGACCCCTGATACTGTGGACCCCTGATACTGTAGATCCCTGATACTGTGGGCCCCTGATAATGTGGACCCCTGATAATGTGAACCCTGATACTGTAGACCCCTGATACTGTAGACCCCTGATAATGTGACCCCTGATACTGTGGACCCCTGATACTGTGAACCCCTGATACTGTGGACCCCTGATACTGAGGACCCATGATACTGAGGACCCCTGATACTGAGGACCCATGATACTGTGAACCCCTGATAATGTGACCCCCTGATACTGCGAACCCCTGATACTGTGAACCCCCTTAGATACTTGCGATGGTGTACCGCAATATTGGTTTAGACTCTCTGAAATGATGGAAACCCCCCCCCCCCCCTTTTCCC